TCAATTTTTCGTGATTATGACTATTCTGGATAAAGAATGTTTTGAGCAGAGGTGGCCCCCCCCCCCTTCATTTTTTTAAGAAAAAAAAAGAAAAATATATTCAAATTGAAGTGCGAGAGTGTAATTTCCGGCCATCTAGAGATGCCTTAATCATAAATTTTCTTACCTCAGCCCCAACTATGGTGGGGCTGAGGTGGGCAGTTCCTCGGTCTGTGAAAGTCCCTCCCTGGTTCACCTCTCTTTTGAATTCCTGCATCTGCCACTGTTAATTTATTATGTAATTATTTTGCGCTTATTTATAATGTGTCTATTGCAATTTTCACTTTATCCTCTCAAACAGTCCTAAGAATGTTCAGAGTGCGCTACTTCACCGGGGGATTCGCCCCCTTGACCCCGGCGGGGTCCTTCGTAATTCGCATAACGGCTCCCCCCACCCTTTCAAAATCCTGGCTACGTCCCTGCTATAGAATGCATTGCATTATATATTTGCCGGCTTATCTAACTGTTGATTTTTAATAATGTGGTATGAAATTTGTTAGAAATTGATCGTCTCCGGTGATTGTCCATATAATATGAATAATGTTATCTATAGGCCTTCTGGTGTACAGGACATAATAACGTTACTTTTTCAGGTCCCAAAAACACCCAAATTAATGAAAATTTTAATGAAATATTCATGAATTATGTGTTTGAGAAATCTATTATGTAAAGACCCTCAAAATGCTACTTTGTCGCTTTTCTCACAAACTCCCTCCAGGCCTCTGCCCCTGGACCACCAAATTTCAAAAAGTACAATTTTTTAAAACCTGTTATTTCACTAAAATCTTTCCTAAAATTATCACGAAATGCTATAATATGCATAACATTTTTTTGCCCGCTCTTCTACCCGTTGATTTTTTTAAATATGTGCTACGAAATATGTTGGAAATTATCAGCTCCAGTGATTGTTGCAGACTGATCCATGTCATCTTTAGGCTTACAGAATATCTACTGTACTGTACTGTGTACACGAAAGTTTGTGACAATACATATTTTAACTAGTCTATAAAGTGCTACCGTTTTCTTATTGTTTGGTATTTGTTTATGAATCCTTTGAGTGACGTATGTCATTTTTCTGAGAACATTAACTGTATTCTGATTCCGATTGAAGAGCTACGACAACTTACCTCCCACAGCTTCAGTCTGCAATATTAGGACATCGATAACCAGGACTATAAATAGTTTCATTCTAGCTTCCAATCTCAAAATTCTGACAAGATATGAAAGATCGAAATAACAATCTCTTACTGTATTAACAGTTCATTACAAAATCACTTTGGACCTAAGTGATATTTAATCCACTAATGTCACTCCTAAACTATTATTTACTTGCAAGTCCTTAATTCGTTCACAACGTACAGTTTTTGAACAGTCCATTAAATAATGGGTGTATTTTATAACGAGGCAAATTGCACCACGGACACAACTTAAACTCAATTTATTGAGAAAGAAAATTAAGAAATAAATGTTTGTGCTTGTCAATTGACAACAGTTATTATACGTCTATTATTTATTAAATCCATTATCAAATCACAATATTTTTCTTAGATCTACACAACACAGTTAAAATGGTATCGCCCTATGCATTTAGCCCTTTCGTAAACCCGCCGTTCCAACCCTGAGCTCTCCTCTTAATATCGAACATACATTTAGTATATTTATTGAATAACACTCTTATAGCAGTGGCACACGAAAAACAAAACAATGTCATCATAATCAGCGAAAATGTAAATCTTTAAAACTAACATTAAATAGATTTGTGCATTGCATCATACCAAGAAAATATTTGTCATTATACTCTTTTTACATCATACGATTCCTCATTTTATTCTTCATCTTTATGGGCATATATATATATATATATATATTGAGGAAGGACTAGTGTTGTCCGAAAGCTCTGGTTCTATTTCTGGCTGTTTACTTACGTTTACTTTTTAGCTGTTGCTTATCATTTTTGTATCTCTACTGAGATCCAGCCATTGTTTCCCACAGCATTGTTGTTTTCCAGTATTTTGCCTTTTAATCTATATATAAATCCATTATCAAATCACAATATTTTTCTTAGATCTACACAACACAGTTAAAATGGTATCGCCCTATGCATTTGGCCCTTTCGTAAACCCGCCGTTCAAACCATGAGCTCTCACTATCTCTTAATATCGAACATACATTTAGTATATTTATTGAATAACACTTTTGTAGCAGTAGCACACGAAAAACAAAAGAATGTCATCATAATCAGCGAAAACTTATATATATATATGTATATATATATATATATTGATCCATATATATATGTATTTATATGTACATATAAAATTATAGTGAAATATATTCAATCAATCACAGATTGTAGCGCCTATTCACGGCAGAATGTCAATGGTGAGTGGCACTACGACAATGGTATTACTCAATGTGCACATTAACTCCTAAGGTTATACCTCCGTGGGTTAATTAACAATATTATAATAATATTATTGCAAGATTACTAAAACAATTATAATTTATATTGAAAAGTTTACTTACACGACTCTAAGTCATGTAACTAAACGTTTCATTATAATGTGTGGATCTTAACAAAGAAAATAACATTGAATACATTATTGGATCTAGATGATTTTTCTCTGTCAATATAAGATGAATCGGAACCGGATTTATTCTGTTGTACAAGCGAATTTGGTAGAGTTTTAGAAACAAAAATCTGCTAGACCAATCACATTTATTTTTGGATAAATTTTACAAAGACAAAGAAATCATTAGAATGTAGTTTTCCAGACCCACTGATTTTGCCTTGCATAACAGCAAAAAGCCATAGCATCAATTCTACAATTTCCATAATCAGGACCAATCTGCGTGAAATGCAAACCTACTATAGGAAAATGGTGAGACAAACCAAATATTTGTTTTTGTATGCATTGCTTTAATAGACAATGTTTAATCTAGCATTAGCATAGTCTGCACCCGTGTCAGACTCTATTATTATAAGAGCTTGGGAAAAAACAAAAACTCGGATTTTACAATGGATACATATTATTGAAACTTAACAAATTTTAACCTAGCATTAGCATAGTCTGCACCCGTGTCAGACTCTATTATTATAAGAGCTTGGGAAAAAAACATAAACTCGGATTTTACAATGGATACATATTATTGAAACTTAACAAATTTTAACCTAGCATTAGCATAGTCTGCACCCGTGTCAGACTCTATTATTATAAGAGCTCGGGAAAAAAACATAAACTCGGATTTTACAATGGATACATATTATTGAAACTTAACAGAAGTATAAACCAATTTCCACTGCTGAACATCATAATTACCAGACCATGAACGCTTTGTAGAATGAAGCTATTGAAAATGCCATTTGATTATCTGTTAGATTGTTCTTTTTCACGTTTAGACCGTGGGTTGAGGCTCCAAAATCGGCTTAGTTTACGAATTCTGTGACCCACCGATCCGCGCTACTTGGCATTCGCACAAAAATGTCAATACTATTTTATTGAAACATAATATAATTGTCGGAAATCGTAAATTTGGGGAAACTGTAACCAAAAATGAGAATTTATCTTCGAAAAAATAATGTCGTTCACGAAAGCAGTACCCAATCACAGCACACTTACCATACCTGTTAAGCATTGATGAGACACTATTAGCCAATCACAAACGTTCTTGTAAACTCGGTAACTAATGTAAACAATGTCGCGAGGAAAGTGACAATGTGTAGCGATTTGGACGAAAGTTCTCTGGTTTTAGTGGAATACGCCTTTTTCACGAATCGGTAGACATCTTGAAGTGATGACAAACATTGCGAATCAGCGGTGCGTAACCAACAGAAATAAGATAAGCTTTTGGGCGGATTTTTTGACATCATGTTATTTAAAAAATCATAACTCTATAACGGGGCGTCGTATCCAAAAAAAATTTCCATCAAAATGTTCTTAAAAGACTAGTCTACACCACTATATGATTGAAAAAAAAATGAAAAATTTTGTTGACCTCTGAAATCAAGACTGAAAAATAAAAGCCTATCTCAGTAGTGTATTAAAATAGGTATATGCCACAGTGCTGTAGTACTAGTAATACTCTGAACTAGCATTGTTTTAGTTACCATATGAGAGTTTCCTGTGTTAAAAACATGA